GGTGGCAATAAAAGCAGATTCTAGCAGCATCCACGGCCCTACAGCCCAACTTTGCCCCAAAGGAGAGGGACGCAGCTGCCTCCTACAAGGACGGGGTGGCCTACCTGAAGCAGAAGGTTTGGCAATCTCAAAGAGCACCGTCCCTGTTTCCAGATCACGAATTTTAAATCGGGTAAAATCAATACTGTAGATGTTGTCCTCAGGTTTGCAAAGATAATCTGAAAAGGAGAAAAATTTCGAGGTCCCCAAATCCTGCCCCCCTCCCCCTCCCCAATTCCCCAACCACCTTCCTAATAAGGTTTACAGGCTCCAAAGTAGGATTTTCACAGGATTAGAAACCATGGAATCCAACCCCCTTATTTTGTAGGAGGAAACTGAAACCCTGGGTTAAAGATTAAGTGACTTGCCTAAGGTCACATGGGGACTTCAACAGCTGAGCAGGAATTCAGACCTGGGTCTGCACTACCAACCCAGAGCTCTTGTTGTATCACTCAGCCTCCTAAAGCTCTGACTCAGCCTCTAAAATTGATGTCAAATGTGATCAGAAATAAAAATGGCACCAAAAGACACAGAGAGGGGCAGCTAGGTGGCACAGTGGATAAGCTCCAGCCTTGGAGTCAGAAGGACCTAAGTTCAAATGCGGCCTCAGACACGTGACACTTACTAGCAGTGTGACCCTGGGCAAGTCACTTAATCCCGAAGGAAAAAAAAAAGACACAGAGGACCAGAAAGCCTGGACCACGCATAAATGCAGGTCTCACTAAAACTTCCTACTGTAAAGCTCTCACAAGAATACGCACAAGAATAAAGGCTTCTCACAAAGTCTTTTCTCCAACAGGAGCTCAATTTGAATGCCCTGACGCAGCCAGTGGCAATTTGAAAAATCCATGCAACATTTAAAAGTCTTGTCTGTGTTGATTTTCTGGATTAATACAGCACTTACTCCTCAAAGGGCTTCTTCTCCCCTTTTTCAAGTAAAGGCATTCTTATGGAATGGCCCAGAAATAAGATGGGTATTCAGCGGAAAATGATCCAAGGTGAAATCTTCCCTGCCCACATTGAGAACTTCCACGATGAGCTCCTATAAATACAGCCTATGCTGGTCACCTGGGCAACTTGTCCTAGTACTTCTTCCACTGGGTCCTTCAACATTTCATGCGTGTGGTGTGTTAGTGAGCTCGTAATATCCTTTGTAACCCCCCTAGAGCCAAGCACAGCCCTGCACATGTTTGTGAGCGGCCTTGCAATGATGCTAAGAACAAGACCACATTGGCTCAAAGGGGACAGTGCTCTCACCTGACCCAGAGCATGGGCCTAACAAGTCTAGGGCACCTCCAGGGATGGGACTACCCAAAAGGATTAGTGCCCCACTCAACTATCCCAATGCCCAGCCAACGCGCTACCTGGAAGCTAACAAGACACGCACCTCCTTCTACCATCCTGGACAAAAAACCAAAACAAAACAAACTAGAAAGCAAAGAATCCAGGAGCTTTGACACCTCCTGAAGACTCTCTTCATTGGCAAAGTGAAGGGGGATGGACTGTCAGTTTTTGCTGTGATACTGTATGGCTTCAAGCCTGGTGGAAAAAGGACAAGAATAGCAGAGAAAATCATTCTACCTAGTTATAAGGAAGCTAAAAAAGGAAACTATATTATGTCCAGTTTTGTTACAAGCAAAAAAGAATCCCTGGTCCAGATAATGTCTAAAGGCTGTATAAAAAGCCCCCAAAGTCATCTTAGCCCAGCCACAGGACTAAGGCCACCTTTCTATGAGGCTCACTTGCCAGGCCAGGGAACCACACAAGGCCAAACCTATCTCTGCAAGTCTCTAAAACCACCACTCTATCTATCCTCTGGAGCTAGCCCAGAAGGCCTAGGTTCCCAGGCAACCAGCCAGGGGCAAGAAGGGAATACAGCGAATGGACAGCCATTGGGAGGCCTTGACTCCCATTTCCAAAGCCAGGGAAAGCACAGAACAGTCACTGGGTAGAATCCAGGAGACTGGATAATGAAAAAAGAAAGGAATACCTAGATTATAAATTCCTAGAAGGGCAAGACCTAGGCTGAAGTTCTTTAAGATAACCCTTCCCTCATCCTAACCCCCAAGATCCCCAGCAGCGAGTTGAAGACGGAGATGCAGCTGAGCTCCAAGGGGCAGGCCAGGTGGATAAAGGCGAAGTGATGGGTCTTTTTGGGTGGAAGGGCAGAGGAAGCCCAAGAGGTAAAGGGGACAGCAGCCTAACCTGGCCAGAGGTGAAGAGGGGAGGAGGAAAGGTTACTCTCTGGCACCTGGAGAAGGGAGGGGAGGAATAGAGAACACTGAGGTAGCACCTTATCCTTAGCCAAGAGTTTTACACATCTCTCCCATCTGAGCCCCAACCAACAGTCCATGAGTTAGAAACTATTATTATCCTCATTTTGCAGGGGAGGAGACTGACAGAGAGGTCATGTCGATGCCCCTTCGGTCACACAGTAAAAAAGTATCAAGTGTGTATCCAGCTCTAAGGGTGTTTTTCATGCCCAAACCAAGAGAGGGGGTGGGGAAGAGGGAAAGAAGGGGGGGAGAAAAGGGGAGGGGGAAGAGGAAGATACAGAAGGAGAAGAAAAGGAGGGGAGGGAGGACAGAGAAGGGGAGCGAGAGAAAAAGCGGGGGGAGCAGGAAAAGAGGAGAGGGGCAAAGAGTAAGAGGGAAGGGAGAAGAGGGGATGGAAGGAGGGTGTGAAGAAAGGAAAAAGGCGGCCGAGGGGCAAAGGCGGAGAGGACCGGGAGAGGGAGCTGGAGGGGAGGGTTTGCAGGAGGAGGGTCTAAGGGGAAGAGTGACCCTCAGGGTCCGTCCGGTCCCGTCCGTGAGGGGGAGGGGGGGCCGTCCGGACCGGCGGGGAGGGGGACACCTCCGGACCGGTCCAGTCCGCGAGGGGGACGGGCGGCCGTCCGCACCGGCGGGGGGGGGCGCCTCCGCCTCTCCCCCCGGGGCCGGGAAGGGGGGGGTGGTCGGAGCCTCCGCTGTCCCCCCCGGGGCGGGCGGCGCACTTACTCTCCGTGACGCGGCTGAGGCGCAGGACGTGCTCGGGCCGGATGGTCTCCAGGGCCAGCAGCTCCTGCTCCGTGACCGGCGGGACTCGCCTGGCCTCGGGCCTCCCGGAGCCGCTGCCGCCGCCGTCCGCGGGATGGTGGTGGGCGGCGGCCGGCGGCTGGCGCCGGGCCTTGAGCCGGTTCAGGACGCCGCCACCTGGCTTCTTCTTCTCGTCCTTGGTCCCCCCCAGAGCTCCGGGCCCCGGCCCCGCCGCCGCCGCCGCCGCCGCCGCCTTCGGGTTCGAACCGCTCATCGCTCCGCCGCCAAGATGGCCACCGCCGCCGCCGCCGCCCCCACAGCGCCGTAACTATGGAGAGCGCCAGGGGGCGGGGCCTGGGCGGGGGCGGGGCCGCAGCCGGCCCACGTGGTCGCTCAGGGGGCGGCCCAGGCCAAGGCTGACGCTGAGCTGCCAACCCACCCGCCCCAGACCTGAGAAGCGGCTCCCGGGCGCAGACCCCTGGGGGCCCTGACCCTCTTAGCCGTTTGAGGGACCACGGGGAGGCCTCAGTTTCCCCATCTGTAAAATGGATTATAAGAACTGAGGTCCCTAGTTCAAGGTGGCCGTAAGCCTTAGATGACATAATGTATGTAGAGTGCTTTGCAAACTTTAAAAGCATTGATTAAGGGAAGGGGTAAGGAATGGGCATCGATGCCACCACGATGTGCCAGGCGCTGTGCTGACAAGAACTTTTTAAAACCATCTCTTGATCCTTCTGGACCCTCAACTCTTCCACACAACCCAGTTCCTGGACCCAGTCCCTGGCATTCACCTGAGGCATTCCAGTCTACCCAGATACTCAATAATCCTTTAACTGTCTTTTCAAGGTGGCCCTGCCACTGTGGTCCTCCTTTCATGTCTGCACCTGGCCCACCCCAGGCTACTTGCCATTCCTTAATCCTATCTAGACCTTCCCACAGTCTTTTTGAGGCAGACTGGCCCTGTACACTTGCATTTCAGGGTTCCCAGCACCCCAAACCACAACACTTCTAGGCGAATGCTGGTATTTTTTACGGTTGACCAAACTGAAGCAGGCAGAGGTAAGGCAGCTGGCCCAGAGTCACTCAGCTCATGTCTGAAGTTCAATTCAAACTCAAGGCTTTCTGCCTCACAAGCCCTGTGCTCCTTCTACTATAATAGGGAACACAGTGGATAAAGAACAGAACGGGACCTCAGACACTTACTAGCTTTGTGACTCTGGGCACGTCACTAAGCCTTAGTTTCCCCAAGTGTTTAAAAAAAGGGGGGGGAGATAATAACATCACCTACCCCACCCACCCCCAGGTTTATTGTGAAAATCAGATGAGATCATAATTGTAAGTGCCTGGCACATAGCAGGTGCTCTATAAATGCTGATTCTCTTCCCCAGTCCAGTGGTGTTGGGTTTCTGGACTCTGGCAACCAAAGCAGTAGAGCACCGATGTGGGCTCTGCTTCTCACTAAATATGGTCTGTGACCCTGAGCAAGTGATTTAGCTCCCCTGGGCCTCAGTTTCCTCATCTATAAAATGGAACTGGCTGGATTCAAAGATCCCTTCCAGGGCTGAATGGAGGGTCCCATGGTTCAGCCTTGAGTTTAAGAAGACCCAATGACCTAGACTTTTGGACTTCCCTCTTATGTGAGTTATTAGTGTACAAGTCTTGGCATTGTTAGGTGGCCTTTTAAAACTACCACCCCCCACAACCCCCCACCCACCCACCCCCATTCCTAACAATGTGCTCAGCACACACAAGAGGCACTTCGTAACTTGTAATCCCCAGGCCCGGTATCATCCTACCAGACTCAAGGGAGCTCCCCAGGTATCCTTAATTGTAGAAGATCCTCCTTCCCCTTCCCACCAAATTGAACTTTTTAATTACTCATGCTAAAATCACTTTGCCAGGCATTCAACTGTGATGTCACCTCTCCAGGTTGGCCTTCTCCTTGAACTAAATGATTTCTCAGGTCTCCTCTGGCTCTTAACATGAGAGAAATGATGGTGAGGTGGAAGGAGGTCTGGGCCAGAGAACACTCAGAATCCTGGCTCAGATCGTCACGTGGCTGGTGAACAGCAGGTATTTAATACGTGTTGATTAAAATTACCTTCCACACACTCTGTATGTATCTAGTTAGGTAGATACCATCTCCCCTAAAAGAATGTAAGCCCGTTAAGAGCTGTGCCTTTTTGGGGATCCCCAGCATAGTGCCTGGCACACAGTAGACACATAACAAATGTGTGTTGATAATCATTTCACCAATCCAAATTTCAGTTTCCTCTTTTTGGGGATATTGCTAATTTCATCTCCCCCCCACCACCACCATACAAAGGTATGCTATTAGGTTCTGTGATCTTTCTGCAGAGAGAAGAGAGTGAACAAGTCACCTGTCATCCTGTCTGATGAGGCAAGCATGGCTTACAGGGAGCAGAGCTCAAGGACGGGACAGCTCCCAAAGGCCGTTTGTTTTTTTTGCCCTGCTAGCCCAGCACACCAGCAGTTTCTTCCTTCACACTACCACCGAAGCAGCCCTGTTGTAAGTAACTGGCCAGCTCCATTTCCTTGGAAGGGCCTTGGCCAAAGGGCTAGTCATTCCCACAACACCAGGGTCAGCACCAGAACCAACGAGCATTTACTAAGTGCCTGTTTACTATGTGCCAGGCACTGTGCTGAGTGCTGGGGTCAAAGAAAGGCAAAAGACAGCCCCTGCGCTCAAGAAACTCACAATCTAGGGGGAGAGGGAAGATGTGCAAATAACTGTGGACAAACAAGGCAGACAGGACAAACTGGGGATCTTATTCTCAGAGGGAAGGGCAGCACAATTAGGAAGACCTGGGAAGGGTGAACCTTAGCTGAGACTTGAAGCCAGGGAGAGTGACACTCCATGTAATGGGGGTCTAAACCTCCGTGGGTACTCCCCTGAAGGGGGGTAACGGTCAGTAAGGACCAGTAAAACGGTGGGCTGAAGTCATGCATCTTCGTGCCTTGAGAACAGAAAGGGGCAATGGGGAAAGGACCTAGGCCGATGTGAACAGGAAACACAGACTGTCCCTGCAGCGGCCCTGAGGAAGCAACAGCCACATGGTGTGGAATCAGGAAGGGTCCCAGGAGAGGACTGGCTAGCCCAGGCCTGGAGGAGACAAGGCGGTTCGAGCCAAAAATAAAAAACAGGCCCCAGCAACTTGATGCTCGTTCTCATGACCTTGGGCTGGCACAGAGCGTGAAGGGAGCCTAGTCCTAAGCACATGAACTCCCCGACTAGATTCCTCCGGCCCCTTCCTGTGCTGGCTCTCAAGTCAGAGGACCCGGGTTCAAATTCCAGCTCGAGGCCCTTAGCCAAATCCTTGCCTGGCCTGTTTCTCCTTCTTTGGCTAGCTGGCCTTTGAGTTCTAGTCTCCAGACCCATCGCCCTCATTTTACAGACAGGAAACGAAGGCCCAGAAAAGGAAAATGACTTACTACAGGTCACATGAAAGACTTGGGATTTGAACCCAGGTCCACTGACATGAAATCCATGGCTTTCCCCACCCCAGCCCCCCCCCCCAGTGCCTTGTTTTCTTCCCCATTGTCCCTAGAAACCTAACACTGCAAAAGGCAAGCTTCCTTCACTGCAGCCCAAGTGGGGTGAGGTAATGTGTCCTTGAAAATTGTCCCCACTCGAGATAAGCAGTCTTACCCAAACCGGGAACCCAATTTCCTTTGCAGCAAGATTAGGATCTACATACAGCCTAGTGTGGACCCAGCCCTAGGCAGGCACTGGGCCCAAAAGCTCCCTATGGCCGTTTCAACCAGAACACGCCTTCAGATTTTTCCTTTTTTGCAGCTCTGGTTTCTGTCCCATCTGATCCTGAGGTAGGCAACAATTCCCGTTAGCTGAGAAGGCTCCTCTCTGGACTGTCCTCTTCTTACTCTCCACAATCCCTGGGGCCAAGGACAGCCAAAAGACTCTGGCTCTGGGGAATAAGCACCTCGCACATGAGGGGAACCTCAGCTTTATTTCCCTAGAAATACTTTGTACCCTTCGAGCCTCCAGGTTACACAGAAAGAAAAAAAACTATTGGCTTTCAGAACCTGCTGCCAGAGCTGGGCCTGGCGAGGGACAAAATGAACAGAGCCTGGTTTGAGACTTGTAGACCAGGGAGTGCCAGTACTTCTGACCCATCAGAGTCAGACAAAATATGCTAGCTGGAGAGGCTAGAAAGGGCCTAGCAGAGATTTTCCAGGAATATCGAATTTAACGTGGAAGAGTCATCTGGTCTGATCCCCACATTTTAATTCTGCTGACAAAAAACTGGGCCAGAGAGGCTCACTTTAAAACTGATGCACCTACTACACTGCCAGGGACCAGAGATACAAAGTTCCCCAGGCCAGATCCTGCCCCCTCAACCTGACAGGTTATGGGCCCAAGCCAAGACCTTTGCCCCTTACCCCAAAAGAATTTGGGTCTCATTTTTTGGGGGGGATGAGAAGGTACAGGCTCTGGAAACTCCCTCCTTGAATTTTCCTACTTAATCAAGTAAGTCTCTGAGGCTATAATCCCCTCAAAGGGCCTTTCTACTCCCAATTCTGTTAGCCTTAACCTAGCCCAGCCCTTCATTGTCTATTACCTCCCTTCCAACCCTTGATCCCATCTAGACCCCATTCTCTTGGTTCAAGCATTCACCTCCAAACTACTAGATACCTCCCACAGTCTTGCTGTATCCATCTTGTCTCCATTAGTGCTGAGATTTAATCTAGCCTGCTTGTCAATATTAGCATCACACATTCAGATTCCTTAAGAGTCTGTTCAATATGGCCGATCTTAAATAAACCTTGTCTTTGGTTAAAAGGCTTGGGTCAAATTCATTCAGGTAGGACCCACATGTCACTATTTTGGGGTCCGAGCACCCCAAACCTCAACAAACCCAGATTCCAGACTCTTTCCATACCACTTCAAAGCCTTGCAGAGGCAGAAAGCTCACTGGGGATGCAGCCAATGTGATGTAAAAGAAAAGCCCTGGACTTTAGGTCAGGGGAAGCCCAACTTCACATCTGGGGCTGATCTGTAAGTGATCAAGGTCATTGGACTTGAGTCTCAATCTGTACAACTGTAAAGTGGGGTTAATACTTGCACCCCCTATACCTCATAGGGCTCACCTGAGCTGTTACTGTCACAAGACTACATGGTATACCTTAAAAAGCAAAACTGATGAACAAATTGTGGTATATGAATGTAATGGAATACTATTGTGCTATAAGAAATGATGAGCAGGCAGACTTCAGAAAAACCTGGAAAGACTTGTATGGACTGATGCTGAGTGAAGTGAGCAGAACCAGGAGAACGTTGTACACAGTAACAGCCACAATGTGCGATGACTGACCTTGACAGACTTTGCCCTTCTCAGCAATGCAAGAATCTAAGACATCTCCAAAACACTCACAATGGAAACTGCTGTCCACATCCAGAGAAATAACCGTGGAGTCTGAACACAGATCGAAGCATGCTCTTCGCTCTCCTTTTCCTTTGTTGTTTTGTCTTATTGCTTCATTCTCATGGTTCCTCCCATTAGCTCTAATGTTCTTTACACCATGACTAATTGGAAAATATGCTTCATACGAATGTCTAAGTAGTGCCTACAAGAGTCCAAGGGTAATATGACGTGATGTCACTCTCAATCTCTCATTTAATATAGCCCACCTCCCACGGTGTTAACCAGAGTCAATGGCCACTCCTCTTCTAAAAGAACACATAAGTCCTGAGGCAGCCAGCATGACTGTCTTTGGTCTAAGAGAGACAGTCAAATGACAATACTTTTATCAATAACATGCTGGCCTTATTAATACAATGAAACTATCTCTCAAAATTATTTTAATCACTATACTGTCCTATCTTTCCAATTCTCTATCTTTGTAATCCCTATGACTAGAATCCTGGTATACATATATTAGTTGCTTAATAAATGTTTGTTGAATTGAACTGTTGTTCATCCTTCATGGACAAGTACCCCTTTGTGAATAAACCTCAAAAGAAGGGGGAAAAAAGGCAAAGCTGGACACTGGTGACAATATAATTTTGTTTATTTTTCTTGAACACGCTGCTGGTTAAAACTGCCAGGCAGGGTATTACAGAATATTTCCTCAACCAAACATCCTGGAAATAAAAATTTTAGAGAAAGAGAGAGAGAGAGAGAGAGAGAGAGAGAGAGAGAGAGAGAGAGAGAGAGAGCGCTACATGAAGATCCCTAGCCCATTCAAAACCTTCAGGCGCCTCCAAAACTAAAGCCTGATTTGCCAACCTAAAGCAGCTAGCTAGCCCTTGAGGCTCCCCAATCCCTGGCCAGGCCCAAATTCAATCCCAACACAAAATATCACTGCAAATTGTTTATTAAAACACAAAGCAATGGACAGTGAAAAACATCCTGATTTGGGGGCAGGGGAAGGAAAGAAAGTTAGGACAGATGGAAACAACTCAGAAGGAAAAGAACCCTTCCCCCCAGCCAGTCCACTAGGGTTTGTAACCCTCCATCCCATCCCATTGTGCTGCTCACTACCACTGCCCGTGTTGGGGCTGCAAACCCCGATGTAGTGGGGCCCAGCTGGGGGGAGGGGGGTTAGGGCTGGAGGTCCAAAGGGAATAACAAGGGTTGCTGAGACCCTGACACTTCTTTGGGGACTTACGTGCCCAGAACGGGGCAGCCCAGGCCAGTTCCAGAGAGCCACCACTCCATTTCCTAAACAGGCCAAGAACTGCAGGTGAAGTCGGCCCTTAGCTCAAGCTGGGAAAAAGCCACTCCTGGCTGGCTCACAGTAGGCAAGAGTGCCAAAACCCCGAAGTCTACAAAGGGAGAAATGGATCCAGGGTCCAATCTCTTTTCATTCCCCAGATCATAAGCACACTAGGGAAAAGGGCGAGTTAGGAAGGAAGGACCCAAGGCTCCCTGAACATTGATTTCGCCTTGGGACCACAGACCCCTGCCAGACAAGCTGCTCTACTCACATGTATGGTCTCCCCACTCCAGCCTGCTAATGACTAAGCAGCTTGGCCTTCCTGGAAGGGAAGCATTTGAACTTGAAACCCCAAAGGAGAGAAGCCACTCATGGGTCCAAGGGGTGACAGCTGTGTAAGGATGCTGGCAAGCATCTTTCTCACAAGATGCTTGGGAGCAGAGGGACCCCTAAGGACAGCCCCCTGACCATCACCTGTCACCAGTCAAGGACCAGAATTGCTTGTCCCAACACCAAGTGTAAAATCCATCCCTGCTGTGTTTCTGCCAATTCAACTGCCCTCTGGTTCCCTAGCTGCAACTCAGCTTGGCCATTAAACCTGGCTAAAGGGCAGCTAGGAGACAATGGGAAGGTAGCCAAGTCACAGAAGGGGGTAAAGCCACATCCCTTGCCCCACTGAAAAAAGCTTCCTGCTGTGGCCCGCCTATGACAAAGAAGAACTCCTGGTCTGAGCCTCCTGTTCCAGAGAAGGCTGACAAGGAAGGACAAATGACTCCTCTTTTACTGAGGCTCCTGATCCTTACTCACATCCTTCCATAGGAGGATGGAAACATTTCCATTTTTCACATTCCAGTCAGCTCCCAGGCAGGGTCAATGTGGCCTCAAAAGGCCAACAGGGCCACATCTCCCCTTCAGCTGGCTTTCCAGGAAGGGGGAGGCTACTCCTATCACTGGATCTTCACCAAAGAACTGGGATTTTTTTTTTCACACTTGAAAGTTCTCCTTCCTAAGTCCCTCTGAATCTTGGCAAAGGAAAGCTGAAGATGGCAGCCTCGCTACTTATGACATCCAGGCACCAAGGCACCACGACTCAACTGGACATCTTTCTCACATCAAACAGACCTTTTTATTACAGGGGAATAGGGTGCAGTAGGGGCATGCAGGAAGGGATAGCCCCTGGCCCAGACCTCAATCTAGAGAGAGCATTACCAAGGTTCAAAACTGGTTTAAAAATAAAACAAAACAAAACAAAAGGTCAGAGAGACAGTTAGAGAGAAAAGAGATTAAGAAAGGCACTGTGCTGACTGGGACCCTCCCCAGTCCCCCAGGGACTGACTCTGCCTCTTCCCTAAGGAGGACAAAAAACCTGCGAATTCCTTCCCTGGACTCTTCAAGGTGAGTAGCTTTTGAGGAAAATTTATATAAGAGCTGGGCAACTGAAAATACTGCCAGTGCTTCTGAAGTTTGGCTGAGATTTTGAGACACCAGGACTTCCCAGGTGATGGACTGAAGCAAGAAGGAAAGGAGAAATTCCTTAAAACAGAAGCTTCTCCAAAAACATCGAATATCAAACTGAAATTTAAAAAAAAAATCAAAGATCTAACAACAGCTCCCAGGTGTCGCCCAGAGGAAGAAGGGGGGAGCATAAGGTAATGCAAGACAGGTTTGATCTGGCCTCACAGGCCCCAAACCAAAGCCAAGCTCCTAGCAGCCCCTCAGACAAACCCCTATCCCCTGGGTAAGTGATGGAGACAAGAGCACAAGACTGGAGACTCTTAAACTGAGGGGTATTTACTAATTATGAACATTCAACACCAATCCCAATGACATTGGCCAATAGCAATTTAAGGAAAAACAAGCAAAGACAATTGTCTTTCAAGCCACCAGAATGTCAAATCAGGGCCCCCACAATGCAGCTTTCTTCCTGACATCAGGACCATGGGAAAACATTTTTTTTAAAATGCAGCTGCCCTGACTGGCTCAAGGAAACATTTGCCATATATATATATATATATATATATATATATATATATATATTCCTCTGACATGGGGCTTTAGTTTAGCCTGCCTGAAGCCTAGAGCAGAATCTGATATCTCTTCCTCCTGTTCTCCCTCCCAGACAGGGCCATCGATCCATGCCCCACCCCTACCCATCCCACTAGAGCCAGGTGACTGGCCTTGGCTCTGCCAAGCAACTATGCCAGGGCAGAGGGCAAACAGAAGCGCTGGGCGGGAGGAGCCGCACCCCAGCTGTGCACCCTGGCTGGAGGCTCTCCCGCCTTAGGAGCAGAAGGGAGGAGTTTAGGGATAAAACGCGGCCCCAGGAGATGACAGCCTCAGGCCTCTCCTGGACTGCTGCCTCAGGACAGCTGGGAGCCATCACTCAGTTCCAGCACTCGATCAAAGTGTGAGGTGGGAACCAATGGCAGGAGGCACCAGCCCAACAATAGTGTACTTTCTAATTCACACAATACAAAAATAAAAAATAATAATAAAGAGCCCCCATCCCCTAAGCAAAAATGTCATGTACCTATGTCTATTAGGGTATAGCAGGCCACTGGCCTTGGAGAAGGAGAAAGCTTTCTGGCCCAGCTATAGCCAGGTGCGGGCAAAGGGGGGAACTCCTGCCTGTGGAACTAGTCAGGCCCAAGGGGATTCCTCCCCCCTCATCCCCCCCACATTGTTTCCTGTTCCCTTCCTTCCCCTTCAGACTTGTTAGATCATGGAAAGGTGTTCCTTCCTTTGAGCACAGCTATAAAGGAAAATTCCCCCCTGCCCAGCTCAAGGAGAAAGGGCCAGCCTAGGAACCAAGACAGAAGGAAAGCTCCTTGGGGGTACCATCATAAAATGGTCGCAGGACTCAGGATTGCTATCTAAAGCTCTTGGTCACCGCAAAAAGGGCAGAGAGTCAAGGTTTCCCTCTCTTGGGGGGAGAAAAGGAAATCTTGCTGCTCAAAGAACAAAACGAGGCCAAATGCAAGTCTATAGGTCTCCTCTCCACATTCTCCCTGCCGGTTAGAAACAGCCCAAGGTTGTTGGTGGCCCTGACCCAGAGGGAGGAGCTGATAGCACAGGGCAGTTGGGATCTGGTCCACTCCTGGAGGACTTGGATGAGCAATTCAAGTGACCAGAGTCAAAGGTTCTGTTAAAAGATGAAGGCCCACGAGTGTCCGGCCATTGGAGCCTCTGACCACTGTCAGCTCTGCTGCCTGAGTGACATCAGCTGGGGACACCATATTGGCTCCAGAAGGCCAAGGGGATGATTGCACATCAGGCACAAGGCTGGCACTCGAGGGGGACTCAGTCTTCAATGTGCTCCTTAGCTCTAAAAAGAGAACAAAAAACCTGCAGAAGCCAAGCTGGAATTTCTACACTGCTGAGGGACAGGGCCTGGTGCTCTAAGGTGCCAGCAGATCCCATGTCCCTCCCCCATCCTCCCCAAGCCCAGCTGAGCCCTGCCTCAGGCTACCTTAACTGAGGTGAGGACAACTGTTAGTGAGGGAAATCCAACAAAGGTATTTTAATTCCCAGAGATGGGAACACTGCAGAGGAAGTAAAATCTGAATAGAGAGATGGACTAGGTGGCCTCCAGGACTCCTGTGCATCGGAAGGCTTCCAGCCCCCGCCCCCTAGGATGGCCAAATTATTGCTGTCAGGCAGGGCAGGGGGCAGATGAGACTGAGGACCGAGGGGAGAACCAGCAAATGCATCAGAAGCCCCAGTGACTCTGCAGCAAAAGCCCGAGTCAGATCAAAAGCAGTTAAGTATCTTGGGGGCAATTCTAGGTCAATTATCAGGAAGTAATTGGTGGAACAGTGCTAGCCCTTGGGTACAGAACCACACGACACACCCCTGCGGTAGGTAGTGAGTGCCAAACAGCCTCGTAATCTAGGGAGAAGAACACGCACAGAGACCAAGGGACCACTGCTCCTAGGAGGAGGAGGAGGACGATTCCACCACCGGGAGACCTGGCTGGACCCGAGTGCGAGTCTTGGAGCAGGGCCAAGGTCTCACCCTGAGTGCTCTCATTCTACTGGACAACACAAACCATCTTCAATTCCAAGTCCAGATGTGCTTGCAGGCAAGCTAAGTCCTATGTGGCCACCATGAGTCCTTAAAAGCGCCATTCCAACGAGTACCAGAAGAAAAGTCCCCAGGCTCCCGTGGCCTCAAAAGAGGCAGAGAGGGAAAGGAATTTCAAGTGAGTAGCTTAAAGGGGAAAAAAGGGAAAGCAAAGTCAAGTCCCCAACAGGCACTAAAAGCAAAATGTATTTCATGGTGACAAAAGCCAAAAGGCAGTTTCAGGACAGGAGGTAAAGCTGCTGCTCTGGTTCCCAGACCAAGACCAGCTCCCTCACTGGTCAAGGAGGCCCACCTTGTGGTTCACACATTTTAAGACAGAACTTTCATTTGGAGACCAGCCAACAAGGCCTTCCCTCCTTTTTAAACACAAAGTTAGGCCAAGACTTGCCCTCCCCCTGGATTCTATGTCCAACCTCCTTCAGCCCAGGCCTTCTGAACAAGGCTTTTCAGACCCTGGTTCATTCCCAACCATGGTCTCTCTCAGGTAATCCATTTCCTATCCCTGGTTCTCCTAATATTCCATCTTAAAAGGAAACAGTATTTGTGCTCTGGGCCCAAGCCCTTTCCCAAGGGACACAGATCAGAGTCCCCAGGGATCAGCCTCTAGCTCCTTAGACGAGAAGGGTCCAATTTCACCCCAAGTACCCTGGAGAGGAAGGCAGCCACTGGATGCAGCCATGAAGAAAGCGAGGGGAGTGAAATGAGGCCTGGGCTGGGCTGGGCTGGGCAAATCCATTCTCTCCTCATTCTGCCTCTTTAAAAAATTTTTTGTTAATAAATTGTGAAAAACAGGAAACCCAAACCAACCATGTTTGGTCTCATTCCTCCTCCCTTCTCCCCACCCTCAGAACGGCCCTGTGTTCTCACAGCCGACAGAGGCAGAAGAGGGTCGGGATGAAGACCCCGAAGGCCACCAGGATGGGAAACATGAGGCTGCTGTTGTCCGAGGCGTAGGGGTTGGGAGTTCGGGGGCCCGACTGGACCCGGTTCTTATTAGACTGCCTTTTGGTGCTGGAACCTTCTTCGTACTCTTCCTCCTCTTCCTCCTCCTCCTTCTTCTCCAGGCCTGGGTGAGGCTGCAGCTTTGGCACCTCTGAGGACAGAGAGAAGTATGACTGATATGCACAGTAAAGAATGTGCCCCCAGCGCCAACTGGGACACAGGGCACCAGGAGGCCCAGCTCTCTTATGGACCAACCTCCTGTGGCCAGCTGGGTGAGGATTCTTTTAAGCTGGCTAGCCGGATGCCCCAAAGCACAGAAATCTTTGCTGGTTCCTGCCATCCCGAGCAAGCGAAGGAGCTAGTAGAGGTAACACCCTTCACGGAAGGCTCCAATATCCTCCTTCCTTCCTCACTTCTCCCACCAAGACCTGAGAACACTTACAGCCTGGGTGTGGACAATGACCTGATACATATTCCTTAGCATTCTCAACTCTCCCTTCCTGCTTCCCATGGTCCCAAATCCCTTTTCACTTTAGAGATCACCATGACCCACCTCCTCATTTTACACACAAACTGAGCCCAGGCAGGCTTGCCCCAAACCCCAGGTAACAAAAAGGAGCCAGGTCTGGATCCAAAGGTCTTTCTCCTAGTGGATCACACTGGCTCGGCAGGTGCCTTCCTGCCCTTCAGAGGATGGCTTTAACAAACAGCTGAGCCCCTGTATTCTGAGCACCCTCTTTCCTTACAGGTTCAATGTCTACACAACTCTTTATAGACATTAGCTTGACTTTTTCCCCTGGCAAGAAATTTGATTCACCCTCTTAGAAGACGTGCAGCCATGCCAGGACTTTGGGGAACAGAAAAGATTCCTTTTTGTCCTCTCAGGTCCTTCAACATTGACAATACCAGACAGGAACAAGTTGGATGGTGTATTGAAGTGGAAAGGGTAAGGGGCAGGGGGAGAGTGACTGACTGGTGCCAACAACTGAGACACAAGCCCCTCTGTGAAGGCAGCCTGGGAAACCGGCAGCTGTGATAACCTCAGAGCCCCAAGAGGGAAAATATGCCCACGGCCGGATGCCAAGGACACTGAGAAGGTTTGATAGATGCCAAGACCTTCCTTCCAAGCTCAGCTACGCCATGTCAGCAACTTCTACTTAACAGAAGGCTCCAATACATATTCTAATAGATGCAGGCTGGTTAGACGGGCCTCCCACTATGTCGTCCCTAAAAAAAAGCTAGTAAATGGGGAAGCACCATGGTGCATGACACTCGGAGGGCGATATCACATGGCTCTCCAAGTCAGAGCCCTTTCATGTGCTGGTACCTCGGGCCCTGGGGAGATCAGCAAAGGAAGAAGGTTGTGTATGAGATAGTCAGGAAGGAAGCACTATAGTTTTCCCAAGAGTAGATTTTCTGGGATCTGACAATGAGCTTAACGGATAGTAAGGGAAGGAAATACTTTGCCTTCCACTTAGAAGGCCAGAAGATTTAGACTGACTGGGCCTGGCCCAGCCCATCCTCTACCGCCGCCATGATTCAAGTGCCTGGGCCTGTGGCTGAGCCTTGGGGTTTGGTACAATCGAGGATGGCAGAGCCTTGGGAATCTGCCACCGACTCCCCAGGTGACTGTGGCCACCAGGATCCACATTCTCCTGGAGGGAGCTTGCTTTCCTCAGCTACAAAAGGAGGGGCCTGTACTCATCTCCAAAGTCTCTTCCAATTCCAAGTCTATGATCCCACTATGTAGTTAAGGTACTGATTCTCTGAATTTTGCTTCCTGTCAGACTATGCCAAGTGACTGGCCCCCTCCTTACCCCCAGCCATCACCAAGTACCTGGTACCCATGCCCAAAACACCACTAAATGACAATAAAAATATTACTCACCATCTATGGTCCCAGCCATGATATATAGTGCACAGACTTTGGGATTGTCATAGTACCCCTACAAGATGGGGAAAAAACCTGTCAGGCTGACACAGGAACCCTGCATTCCCCAGCACCCTCCCCGCCAGAAGACAGAAGGGGTCACCTTGACAAACTCGATGTGTAGCTTCCCGGTGAAGGTGGACACTTCCCCCTGGACACTCAGCTTTCCCTTTTTGATGCTAATGGGGATGATTTCATCATGAGCTGTGCTGTGACCAACTCGGTCAAAGATGTCCAGATCCTTCACGACCACGTGACCATTCAAGCGCACATCAAACACCTTCAGGGTCAGAAAGGGAAAGTTCAATTCAGTAACCATCAGTCACCTTCCCAATTTGGACAAGGTGCAGCTAGGCATTTGGGAGATAAAACTAAAATTGTTTTTAGAAGAGCCCCTGCCCTCAACGACCTCATATTCTACTAGGGAGATCTGATGCAAATGCAGATGTGTAAACACAAGATGATTTGAGAAGGGGAGCACTAATAGCTGGGAGGATCAGAAGGGGCTTCCTATGACAGGAAGCATCCAAGCCGAGTTTTAGGGAAGGTACAGATTCTCTGAGGCAGAAGTTACTGGGGAGTAAGTCCATTTCAGGCACAAAGAAATGCAGAGAGGCAGGGGACTGAGGAGTTGCAGGCACATGGTGGGTGTGCTGTGGGGGGAAGATGATAATTCGTATAAAGGTCAGAACTACTAGTTCATGGGAACTAAAAGGTTCCGTTACAGGACCGTAAAATTTGGATTCAGTCAAAAGGATGCACTTAAGGACCTAGAAGGCCACATGTGGCTGTAAGGTCACAGGTTCGCCACTCCTGTTGGAGAGGGCTAGACAGAGCTTCAGCCGTAAAATCAGTTAGAGCCTCCAGATGGCTCAAGCCCTTGTGCTGGGGAAATTTAAGGAGCCCCCTTCAATATGGCACCCCCTTCCTCACCGCCCACTGGTAGCCAAGAGGTTCTACCAGACTCGTGGAACAGGCCATTTAAGCCAACACAATATCAGCGTCAGAGAGAGGTAAATCTACCAGCAGAGCCAGAGGAAAAAATGAGGTTTAGAAAGATAGCTGAGACAAAGGAAGCACATGATATTTTGCCCAGGCTGGCCCGTGGCCAGAGAGTTAGGAGAAAGATGTCTTGGCCACTCACTCCAGCACAGCACCCCAGAGACACATCTTAGGGGGGGTGGGGGTGAGAATGGCTGCTTCTTCAACATTCATCCGCTCCCCCCCAGGAGAGGCTGGACTTTTTGACCTAAGGCCCCATGACACACAGGTCAAAATGTAAGATGCCTCAGAAGCCTGGCTGCACCTCACCTTCTGTTGGGATTGTGCAAAATAGACCTCAGCAAACTTCAACACCAGCACATAGTCCCCCTCCTCTTTGATGGGGACCTCATAGCCAAAGGTCTCCTCATTATAGCGCTCCGTCTGATAGAGGATCTGGTCTTCAGGGTTGGCACGAAGGATGGGCAGCTTCATCCCATAGTCTGAGGCTAAGGAGAAAAGCACAGGACCAGGGCCACATTAGACCAGAACGGGGCAAGTTGCCAAAGCAGCCTTGAGGTGGTAGTGGTGGTGGTGGTGGTGGTGGTGGTAGAGCCGGTCACCCCAGCCACACCTGGTTCAGGCTAGAAAGAAGGCAGCTGCTACCTGTTCTCCATACCATTCTGGAAACCTGACACCATCTATCCCACTAAGCCCTATAGCTACACCAGAGCTTGGGAAAAATTTGTGTGTTAAAAGAAGGTCCACAAAAGCACCTCTTCTTATATAGCTTTAGGCCAACAAACAGTGGTTTCTGAACAAACACAAACTCATTATTAAAAGAGGGTACTACCCTGCCTGCAGCTGCCCATCTCCCGGGAGGGCCAGCTTCAGAGAAACCTTGCAAAACAAGGGAGACAGCAGGGGACTCTACAGCAGACAGACAAAAGGCGACTGAACCAAGACAATGTTCTTTAGCATCCAAAAAAAGTCCAGTCTAAAACAAACATGTTGGGAGAGCAGGCCAAAACTGCTGGAGATACAGAGAAAATGCTAGTTTTCTCAACTGGTTTCCTCAATTTCCATTAAAAGGCACCAACATGGGTAAACTGAGTTTGGGCCCTAAGAAATGGTTGTAAATTGCTCTTTTTTATAAAAGTTTATGAGTGGCCAAAGCTCTCACTAAACTTTTGGACTGAAAATACACACACACACACACACACACACACAATCTACTACTTCAGATACCTCAATTGATAAAGTACCCCCAGATCAATACTTTACCTACCCCCTATGGCCTGGGAATTGCCTAGGGCCTAGGCTAAGGGTGAGCAACCTACAGCCCTGAGGCCACATGTGGCCCTCTAGGTCCTCAAGTTCTGCCCTTTAACTGAATCCAAACTTCCTGGAACAAATCCCCTTAATAAAAGGATTTGTTCTGTAAAACTTGGACTCGGTCAAAAGGCCAAGCCCAAGGCTTAGGCCACACACAGAGAGGGTCAGTTAGCAATAGACAGTCACACAAATGGTTTCACCAACCAAAAGGGGTGGAGGGTGGGGGTGGAGAATCACCATGGCTGAGGTCCCTGGGGTGACCTGTTCCGTTTCAAAGATGGCTCCTTCCCATCTCACATTTAGTTTGGGAGACTTATCTGTGTCTGCACATCAAATCTAGACACCTAAACGTCGACCTTCTTCCAAGGTCCCCTTTCCTTAGAGAAGGCTTCTTGTTAACTCCTGGAATCAGCTACTCCAATTCTGAGATCCTTTCAACAGCTCAGACCAAGGCTCATCTCCTCCGGCAGGTCTTTCCAGGTTATTCTGGGTGTTGGTGCACCCAAATCGCTGCACATTTACTTGTCTGTAAATATGCTATACTCCCCCTCACCTCCCCCCGGAGAAAATTAGTTAGAACGTGGCCTAGCACAAGGCACACTTGAGGGCGGGAGCTTCTCACTACTTGCAGCAGCGCTGGGCACCTAAGAAATGCCTGCTTCTGGGCACCTTCATACCCTCTAGTCCCATAAATGATCCAAACCTCTAACATAGTGCTGACTTGTTCGATTAGATGCCTCCACCCCACTCAGTGTAAAATTTTGTGTCTGCCTTCAAAAGCTTCAACAGGAAATACAATGAGCAGAATTCAGACCATTCAAGGTATACTCCTAGGGACTTTCCTTCTAGCTGCCTCCTCCCCCACACCCAGGGGGGACAACAAGGGTAAGAGAGAGTCAGAAAAACCCAGTGGGGGAAGAATGGAAGCTCTCTCAGATTTTCTGCCAGCCAGCCCACCCAAAGCACCGGCAACAAGAAGTTAAGAGCCCTCAGGAAAATCAGTAAATATTACCTACTTTCCCCCCAATTCTGCTCAAACAAAAACCCACCTCCAAAAACCAAAACAAAACCCACTTCCACAAAGAAGGCTGAGTTAACACTCTGAGACTAAGAGTCTGATGGGGCAGCCAGCTTTCCTTCAAAGATCAGAGGGGGGAGGAAAAGCGACCCATGCCCTGATGCACAAAACTTAAAGAAACCAAGATTCTGCCAATTATCTTCCAACATCGCTGCAGCTCCCTCCCTTAAACAGCCCCTCCAAGTTCAGAGCTTTCGCCAGCTTTCATTTATTAGCATGTATAGAAAAGGACTGGTCTGTGGTGATCTTTTTCATATTAAGAGTGGAAAAAGAAATGTAATCTGTGGCAAAGCTGCACAGCGAACAAAGTCAGACTTAGATACACACCCAAACCCAATCCTGGAATTGCCTTTTAGAATATTTCCCCCCCAAAATAACCCAAGTGACTTTCTCAGGGGATTGGCCACATGAGAGGTTTGATCTGTACAAAGCCAGGAAAGACAGAGCAGCAAAAGGAGCTGCTCTTCCCTCCGCCCCCCAACTAAGTACAGTGAGTAGTGTGGTCAGCATACTGCTGATGTGGGCGTAATACAGCCTTAACAGCCAAGGGAAAGGGAGGGGGCCAGAAGGACTCACTGGTCTAGGTCTTCCAGGGTTCCTAGACAAGGATGAGTGGTCCCCAGGCTACTTTTTTTTTTAAGTCTCTCTCCTACCCTCAGGGCTGACAATTGTCCCTATAGAAAGTGGGTGCTATATACAGCTATAGGGCATCACACCTTCTAGAAATGTATACCCCAAAAGACCAAGGCAGCCAGGATCAGTGGTGAATATAACCCTGTTAAAAGGGACCTTAAAAAACATCTACAATTTCATTTTACATAGTCAGAAACTGAGGTTCAGGTTGGTGATATGGCTTGTCCAGTGTCATGAAGCTAGTACGTGGCAGAACTGGACTTCAAATCCAGGCTCTCTGACTCCAATCAGTATCCTTGAAACCTCTTTCCGGGGCTCTCTCCCTCTTCTCCGTCTAACTTTAGAACTGGCTTCCATTAAACTCCTCAACCTTCTTTATCAACACTGAAGGAAGCTTCTCCAGCAAGACAGGGAATGTTTTTAAACCTAGTGAGAAGGCCTGAAAGCAAAGCTCAGTGGGGACCAGCACAGAGAGGTCAGTCATTCTGAAGAGCTCACATGGAGAGCCCCAGAAAAAGGCTCAGTACCAAATCTAGTTAAGCAAACTGGAGTGGTAGCAGTTCCTCCCCTGCAGTTGATGGGGATCCCTGGCCAGCCTTTGTGCCAACCTTGGGGGTCTACCTCCATTTTATCCCATTTATGTCTTGGGGGTCCCTGGTTCTTTGCACGTTATTCCCCTCTTGAGACTGAAGGTGTGGTGGCAGGACCTTGTTTTGCTTTTGTTTGTATCTCCAGTGCTTAGCACAATGCCTGGCACGTAGAAGGGACTTAATGACTGCCAGCAGACTGACCCAAGGGGCCAGTGATCTTATACAGGCCCAGACTGCCAAGTAGCTGGCATCTCCATGGGCATCTGGCCTATGTCACTGAAGTTCAAGTTAAAAGGTCACCAGGCAAAGAGATCTGTTTTCGTCTCTTTTGGATTGGAGGGGTGGAACAGAGGGGAATTTTTAGTAGGCTTCACAGAACCTCAGAATTAGAACAGTCCAGTTGGTCTCAGGGCTTCCAACATGCTGGTGGGATGCAGCCCTCTGGATAGGCCTTTTAACAAAAGGTTATTTTATTAACTTGGCTAACGCACACAAACTAGCAGCTTGGAAAGGCCTAACCATCTACCTGCTGTTACCACTAGGCAAGCTAGTCCTAGCTGGTAGCAGGCTCAGATCAATTAGTAGTTATAATCATTAACCAGGCGACCCACTACTGAAAAAGATGAATATCTCTGATTGATCAAAAGCTATTACATCAACTATAATGGATGAAATTGAGATTTAGAAAGGGGAAGGGCCTTGTCCATGGTCATACTGCTAATCGGGAACAGCCACCCCACAAAGAGCAAAGTCTGATCCTTGTTCCTTAGTCCAAATACACCAACCCTCTCCTAAATAGAGCTCACAGTGAAAGTCAAGGAGCCTTGGGCTAGAATCCCAAGGTGAACATTGCAAAATCACTGTCTGTGTCAGGTGGCCTGTCGGGGTGTATGGAGGAGGGGCTGCTGGTGGGGGAGGGCAAATGATGAGGAGGAATGTTTCGGGAAATTTCCAGAGCCATGGTGTTGGGGGCCAACCAGCCACTGTCAGAGCCAAAAACCCCTACTTCTGCTTGGAGCACTGGGGGATGCAGATCCCTCTAGGAGGAACTAGGAACTCAACAAGACATTCGTTAAATACGTATATTTGTAAGATACGACATTAAGTGGTGGAGGAGAGCTTATATTTTACTGGGCCAGTAGAGAATTAATAACATCCTGCTAGTTCCTTGGAAGCCAAATGCTGCTTGGACTGATACAGAAAGAAACTCCAACGAAGAGAGGGGCAGCCTGGCTTAGGGGATAGTGCCCTAGGCCTGAAGGTCAAAGACCTATGTGATGGTGAGCCAAATCTGAGTTTCAACTTTCTCATCTCTAAAATGGGGATGAGGATAATTGCCATACAGTCTACCCCACAGGGTTGCTGTGGAGAAAGCTCTTCGCAAACCTTAAGGTGCTATTTGAGGGGAGCTGCCATTTTCTTCAGAGGGAGTCAGACACGATATCAAATGGGAAGTAAGTAACAAAGCTTTTATTCAACAGCTTCCACGATACATCTAATGGGTCAGGGCAGGCTAAGGCAAGGTCTCCCAATTACAATTTAAAAAGCTCTTTCATACAGAGTTTCTTTCAAGTGATTCTCTCAGTGGAACTAAGGCAAATGCGTTATTTTGCCAGTTTTACGGAGAGGCAACTAGGTGGCGAAGGCCTGGAGTCAGGAAGACCTGAATTCAAATCCAGCCTTAGACACTTACTAGCTGAGTGACCCTGGGCAAGTCACTTCACCTTGTTTGCCTCAGTTTCCTCATCTGCAAAATGAGCTGGAGAAGGAAATGGCAAACCACTCTACTATCTTTGCCAAGAAAACCCCAAACGAGGTCACCCAAATGGGTCACCAAAATTCAGACATGACTAAACAACCAAAAAAATTTTTACAGATAGGGAAACTTATCAATCAACAAGCCATTTGTGAAGCACCTCCTCTGTGTCAGGCATTGTGCTAAGGGCTGAGAATACAAAGCAAGGCAAACCTGGTCCCTGGCCTCAAAGAGCCCAAGTCTAGAGGAGGAGCCACCAGATACATTCTGATTCAGCCAGAGTAGATGGAAGGTAAAGAAGCTTAGGACTTGGCCAGCGTTAGAGAAAACCCAGGTGTCCTGCACCCTGGCCCATTCTTCTTTCTGCTTCAGCAGACTAACTCTCTCAACACCTGGCGCTGCCCTCGACTTCCAAGAAGGGCTGCCAACACGTTTGGGAGGGGAAGGGAGGGAGAAAAGGAACAAAAAGTAAACAATGGCCTAGCTTCAAGGGCCTCAGGAAAGAAAGGGACTGGACATCCTCCTGTAAGGAGGCCTGAAGCCTCAATTCCCAACCCAGTGGCCAGAAAAAGAATTAAAAATGCTGTTTTCCTGATCCACTGGGTAGATGCTTTCTCTGAAGACACAGGTTAAGGAATGTGGCTCCCAGCAAAACACTCTCCTACTCCCCCACTTAAGACTATAGCTTATGGAGGCTGGGAAAGCAGCCAAAAGGGGTGGCCCCCAAGCCAGGAGTTGTCATGGTGGGACCAAAGTCTGGAGTGGCAATTCAGTGTACACGGATCTCTGCAGGCCTTGTCTAATGGCAATCTACAATAGCCAACTTCCTGTGAAAGACTTCCAACATGAGCCAATAACTTAGTGCCAGGCTTTCTCTTCCATCAACAATTCCGGTCCCCAAAAGCCAAGGGTTGAGAACTCCTTGGGACTGAGAACAGGGTCAGACAGTCCAATTGCATCTGCTGCTAGCTTCAATAAAAAGCCAGCTGGAAGAGCACCTGCAAATTAGAGGCAGAATCTTTCCACCAGGGTAGCCTGTAACAACTGACTACAGGGACACCAGGGGGGGCTGGTTCTGTGTGGTCCCAGCCAATTAGTTTTTCCATTAATGGCCCATGTCTTTAGTTTCTCTAGGCTGAACGAACTAAACCACTCAGGTGTCAACATCTTCTAGCAAAGAGCTGTGCAATCTAAAACATGGTCTTATCCAGCAGTTATCTCAGGAGACAAGGTCTGCCAAGGGCTTTTTGATTCCTCCAGGGTGGTTCCTACCCCCAGGAGAGGAAGAAGGGTGGATCTAACACACAGACAGACCAAGTAGGGCTCCGGCCCCGAAGCCCACTTCAGCTTCTTCGTCGCATGCATGTACTACAGGAACCAGAGGCTGTTAGGACAAGCTTGCCTGAATGAAAGAAAACAGCAGGCCAAACTTTCCAGAGCCCTACATCTGGCCACCCAGACAGGTAGTGAAGTGTCTGCCCACCTGGTGGTGGAACAGATACCAGACACCCCACTTAACTTAGAAGCCCAAAGAAGGGCGGCTCGGGCCCTCTGAAAGAGGCCTATTGCCAGTCTGGCACCCTTTGCCCTCGTGGTACAACTTGAATCTCACGGAACTTCCCAAGCCCACAGAAAGAAGGAGTCTGGCACACTCTGCTCTGTGGAGCCAGTTACACTTGATGGGTTAACAGAAAATCTCCCCATTCCCAAGAGTGGCTGTCATCCTGTCTCAGGTTCACTCACGTTTATCAAACTTCCTCAACTCAAAAAGAGGCCTGAGCACTCAGCTGCCAAGGGCCAACCCCAGGAGCCCAGGCTCCGACCCCAGACTCCAGCTGGGAGAGGGTCCCATCCAGAGTAAAACTGAGGCAGCTCTGGGCACCTCAGCAGAGCTGAGAGGCTCCCCCACCCCAGGCCCAGGAGGCCTAGATCTGGGCCGCAAAAGGGCACCCCAGTTAGTCGGTTATTAGGGGCCAGAAATACACTGCAACCACAAGCTTACTGGCGAGCCCCACGGCTGGCCCCCGGCCCCCGGGACCGGAGTCTGCCATTTTGACAACCTTGTGCTACCATATGCAACTCTCTTCTCTCCGAGCCTCAGTTTCTTCCAACTGTAAAATTGGGGGATGACCTAGGGCTCTAAATGGTTTGCCAAGGACCCCAGCGTGCCCCTCCTGGCCCCAAAATCCAAGCCTGAGCATGCCCCCACACCCCACACCCCGGACGTCGGGGGTGCCCGCTCTGCCTCGGTCTCCAAGGAGGGCTAAGGGATCCCGGACTTTAAAGCTGGAAGGGGCTCTGATCCAGGCTGGAGGGGCCCAACGTCACACAGAAGGGACCTCAAGGCCCACCTGAGGCAGCCCCCTCCTCTTACAGGAGGAGAAACTGAGGCCCGGCGGCCCGAGATCACACAGCTGTTGGGGGCTTTAAGGGCTCCCTCTCCAGCCGGAGAAACTGAGGCCCGGGGGCGGGGCGCACGTGGCGGCGCGGCCAGACCGGCAGCCTCACCTCGGCCCACCCGGCCCTCCAGAGGGTCCTTGCGGAAGTGGATCCCGTGCACGTCCACATGCGCCTCGCCGCCCGCGTTGATGGCCCAGATGACGCTCTCGGGCAACCCGAGCCCCGCAGCCGCGGCCGCCTCGGGGACGGCGCCGCCGAGGCCCAGCAGGAGCAGGGGCAGCAGGGGCAGCGGGGGCAGCGCCGTCGTCAGCAGCAGCGGCAGCAGCAGCAGAGGCAGCGGCGGCAGCAGCGCCGCCCCCGCCCCGGCCCCGGCGCCCAGCAGCATCGCGGGCGGCCCCGGCCGGGCTCCTCCCGCCGCAAGGGGCTCGGCTCCTCAGCAGCGCCCGGCTCCGCCCGCCGCCAGGGCCACGGCCGCCCGGGACATGTCGCGCTCGCTCGCTCCCCCGCTCGCTCCCCCGCTCGCCTCCGTCTCGGTCTCAGGCTCCTACCTCCACCTCAGGCACAACCGAGTCCGGCCCCGGCCGCCGCCGGCAGCCAATCGGCGCCCGACGCTCATTAATTACCCACGGCCCCCGCCGGGAGCGGCCGCCCCATTGGCTGCGGCGCGGGCGGGGGGCGTGGCCGGCTCCGGGCGCCAGCCCAACCGCTAGGCGCTGGGGGGAACGCGCGGGGAGGGAGTTCGGTTGGAGCGGTTGGGGAGGGGATGCGGAAGAGGCGGCCGGGGCGCCCTCGGAGGAGAGCCCGCCGCCCAATGGAAGAAAGGAGGAGGGAGGGCTGAGCGACCGGGAGGGGGGGGCACGCGGACACGTCGCCAGCACTTCCGGTTGCCTTCCCCCCTTTCCATTACCCCCCTCACCCCGGATGCCGACGAGTGGGCTCCCGGCCTCCCACCTCCAGGGACGTCAGCCTCCTAAGGGGATGTGACTGGGGGTGTCCAGCCGGCGCGGGAATTTCCCGGCATGGGCCAAGCGGGCCACCGTTCCTCTCCTCCGGAGAAACTACCTGAGGGAGGCAGCTTTCCCCTCAACCACAGACGGCCGGGACCCTGGCTGGGGAGGGGTGAGGGAGCCGGGGTTCCCAGTCCCCGCCCACGGCTCGGAGCGTTGTGGGAGCCGATTAAGCGCTGGTGGCGGGAATGAATGAAAGGGGGCGGGCACGCGGGCGCTCAGAGCATCCGGTCCCCACGAGGGCGGGAGCGTCGATTTGGTACCGGCTGACAGCCGCCCAATCAGAGAGGTCCAGCGCGGCGGAAACGCGTGGCTGGACCGGGGAGGGAGAGAGGGAGGCCCAGCCACTGCGTTGCCCTGGTAACAGGTCCCCCCCTCCCCTCGCGACCCCCTCCTTCTTCCCGAGGGGGGGGCGGAGTCAGTTTCCCCAAAGGAGGCTGCTGGTGTTAGAAGGTTCCGAGACCCACCCGAGCCTCCAGGGCGCCTTCCTGAGCAGACCTCTCCCCTTCCCCCCCCCCCACCGCTCTTGCTCCCTGGGAGGCCAGTGATGGGTCCGAAGTCACGAAGTAACGAGAGGGAGGCTCCCCTGGGCCTGTGTGACCTTGGGCCTGCGGCTTCACCTCCCTGGGCCAAGGGAAGGGTGGATGCCCTCCCACCCTCAGCCGAAGCACCCCGTGCTGAGGTCAAGGCAACGGGCATTTATTAAGTGCCAGCTGTGTGCCAAGCACTGCCCTAATGCGCTGTAGTTACAAAGAGGGGCAAAAACATTTCCAGCTCATAGTCCAGTACAAGAGAAAACACGCAAACAACTGTGTACAAACATAAAATTGGAGATGATCCCCCGTGGCTGACATTCCCTGTCCTAAAACCCTCCCTGCTCTGACATTCCCTGTTCTCAGCCCCCTCCTCCCTCTGACATTGCCTGTTCTGGGTTACCTCCTAGCTCAGACAGTCTACATTCTAAACTCCCAGCTCTTACAGCCCCCTGTTCTAAGTTACCTTCTCAGTTATGACATTCTACATTATAAGATCCTTCTCCACCTGACAGTCTCACCTCTCATGTTCCCTATTCTAAGGACCCTTTCAATCAGTCCTTAAGAATCTGTCTCCTACTGCCAGACCCTAAGGATGGCACGTAATAACTCACATCTACATATGTGGTTTAGGGGCAGGTAGGTGGGGCAGTGAATAGCTCAGATGGGCCTGGAGTCAGGAATACCCAAGTTTAATTTGACCCCAGATACCAACTGTGTGTCCTGGACAAGTCACTTCACCCCACTTGCCTCGGTTTCCTCATGTGTAAAATGAGCTGGAGAAGGAAATGGCAAGCCACTCCAGTATCTCTGCCGAGAAAACCCCAAGTGGGGTCACAGAGTCGGACAGGGCTCAGCAAAGCACTTTGCACACTATCTCCTTTGCTCTCACAACAATCCAATGGGGAAGACGCTATTGTTATTCACAGTTTACAAGATGAGAAAATTGTGGTTAAGTGCCTTGTCTAGGGTGACAGAAGCTAGTAATCCCCTGAAGCAAAAATAGAACTCAGATTTTCATGATTCTGAGTTCAATGGTTTATCCCACAAGCCTCCTTACCAGAAAGACCGTCCCTAAGGGACACCATGTGTTCACAGATCAGGAAACACAGGAATATCCAAAGTAAATGCAAAGTGATTTTTTTGAAGGGGGAGGTCACCAGCCTTGGAGGGGATCAGGAAAGGCCTCCAGCAGGAGCTGGCATTTGAACTAAGTCTCAAGGCAGGGCTTCTTAACCACCCATGTCCTGGAACTCTCTGGCAGTCTAGTGAAGCCCATGGACCCTCTCTGAATTTGACGTTTGGTTTTGTTTTTAATTAATTAATTAAATCTAATTTAATAATTAATTAATTTAATTTTGCCTTTCTTTGTGTCCCCAGCACTTTGCACAGTGACTGGCACAAGTAGGTGCTTAATATATGCTAGTTGGCTGACTGACAAAATGCATAGGATTACAAAGGAGGCCAATTATATTGAAATAGTCATCAATTTTTTTTTTTAATGAGCCTTGCTTTGAAGGGAGCTAGGAGGCTTCAACCAGTCAAGGAAGAAGGGAGAAGAACATTCTTTGTAAAGGCCTGGAGATAGAATGTCCTGAATGGGGAGCAGCAAATAGGTGTGTTTGGCTGCAGAGAGGGAGGAAGTAGATAGGAATCAGGCTGCCCAGGGAGGCTGAAGCAGCCAGGCTGACTGTCATTGGCCACAGACTGGCTCTTGACTGTCTGTGTTCTAAAGGCCCTTTCTTTTAGCATCCACATCCTATAGGCCTTGCCCACTTTATCATAGGATGCTGTAAGAGCCTAGAATCTAGAGCTGCAAGGGACATTTGCAATGCATCTTAACCCTTCATTTTACAGATATGGAAATTGAGGCAGAGTTGAAGTTACTTATCCAAGGTCACACAGCAAGGAAATAGTTGGGATTTGAACCCAGTCCTTTAACTCCAAATTCTGGACTCTTCATTGTTTCCCTCTGCCCCTGTGACCCCATCTGGTTCTAGCCATATAACCCAGTAATACCCCCCTCCACTGCTATTCATCCTTCCCCTCAAATGCACTGGGCTAACAATAACTTCTCACATTTTTATGATGTTTTAAGGTTTATGTGAGGCTACCTACCTGTCTTAGTAGGGGCAGCTAGATGGCTTAGTGAATAGAGCACTAGGCCTGGAGTCAGAAAGACCTGAGTTCAAATTTGGCCTGAGACATTTAGTAGCTGTGTGATCTTGGACAAGTCACTTGACCTCTGTTTGCTTTAATCCACTGGAGAAGAAAATGGCAAATCACTCTAGTACCTCTGCCAAGAAAACTCTATGGATAGTATGGCCCATGGGGTCATGAAGAGTCAGACAACTAAATAATAACAACTGGTTTAGTGGGTAGCATTGGGCTTGGGGTTAGGAAAAACTGGAAAACTGGGTTTGAATCCCACCTCTGACATTTGCTATCTTTGTAATTCCTAGTGGAGTAAATTACTTCCCATGTGCCTTTGGCAGCCTCTTAAAACTTAGCTGCTAAATCATAGATCCGTGTGGATAGAAGGAAATCCCCAAGCTAAAGGTGTCACTGATCCCATTAAGTGATTTTAATAGCTTAAAACTGTACTAAGACTTGTAGAACACCCTGGAGAGACAGAAACAGAGAGGGATAGAGAAAAAGAGGGAGAGACAGAGAGGGATAGAGAGAAAGAGACAGAGGAGAAACAGAAGAGAGAGAAAGAGAGAGAGAGAGAGACAGAGAAGAGAGAGAAAGGGAGAAAGACAAGAGAGAGAGAGAAAGGGACAGAGAGGAGAGAGAGAAGGAAAAAGAGAAAGAGAGGAGAGAGAGAAAGGGATAGAAGGACAGAGAGATAGAGGAGGATGGAGAGAGAGGGATAGAAAGAGGAGAGAGGGAGATAGGGATAGAGAGAAAGAGGAATAGAGCAAAAGAGAGAGGCAGAGAGAAGAGAGAAAGGGAGAGAGAGATAGGGATGGAGAGAGAGGAGAGACAGGAAATAGAGAGGAAGGAGAGAGAACAAGATGGGGATAGAAAGAGGAGAGAGAGGGAGAGAGAGAAGAGATAGGCAGAAAAGAACAGAGAGGAGGAAGAGAGAAACAGAAGGAAAGAAAGAGGAGAAAGGGAGGGAGGGAGGGAAGGAGAATAAGAGAGACTTATAGATATGATGCGGTTTAGGGATTCAGGGGTGCTGGAACCCCAAAATCACGGGGGGTCCTGCCCGAAAGAATTCAACCCAAGCCTTCTTTCAGTCAAAGACAAGATTTATTAGAACATCCATCATATTGGGCAGACTTTTAAGGAGTCCGAACATGAGTAAGCAGTGGCTAGATTATAAGAATCAGAGCATCTTAATGGAAACAAGGTGGACCTTATATACAGAAAGACTGTGGGAGGGACCTAGGAGTGGCCAGTAAACTGGGGTGAACAGAACTTCTGGGACCTGGAGCTCATGGCCAAGGGAGAATGGAGCCTAGCTAGGATTAAGGGTGGGAAATGGCCAGGGGCCTTACATAGGGAGGTAGGGGAGGTTGGGTGTAGCCACAATGAAAGGCCAGTTGATGGGATAATAGCCTCAGGGAACACTAGAGATTTGGCCAAGTGGGAAAGTCTAGGGTTTTTTCTTTCTGGGGCACAGATCCCAACCCCATCAGATACACATCCTGTATATCTGTCTACAGACATGCACTCTGTATATATAGATATATTCCCATGCATATCTATAAATCAGAAGACAAACAATGTGTTTTTCCCCCTATTCAAGTACAAGCTCCTGGAGCGCAGGAACTGTCTTTGCTTTTGTATTTTTGGTCCCACTGCTTAGAACAGTCCATAGCATACAGTATACTTAATTAGCACTTACTCATTCACATGTGATCCTTGACCAGTCACCCCTTCTGGGACTCAGTCTTCTCTTTTGTAAAATACGGGTACTGCCTCCAAAACAACTGAGAGGAAAGTGCTCCCTAAGCCTTAAATGCAACGAAAGAGGGAGTTATCCTACTCAGC